AAGGAAGGAATAAAGGTGAATAATGATATCTTCACTCAAACCTCCACTTATTACATTCTTTTGTCTTTGAGTATGTCTTTTGGGTATGTCTTTTAGGTATATCAATGACAACTAACACATCTATCCAAAGCAATTTGTTTAACAATATGTGGATATGATCCTATGTAGCCAAATAATAAATAATAACAAGTTGTAATAGATATTTTATGAGAGAGTTGTTTAACAACAATACTATATGCAAGTCATTAAAAAGTGATTTCGATAAATCTTTATAAAATAATTGGGATACTACGTGCGCTATGATTGGTTGAAAACCATGTTTGATGAGAGTATCAAAACGCGCTATCGTCATTTTTAATCTATCGCGCGCGCTCAATGGTCAGTTTGAATAAGACGGCACGTAGGGAGAATTTACTTAGACTTTGCTTTTTTTCGATCTTTTCGCGCGTTTGTTATTTTATAAAACGAATCAAAAACAGTTTTCTGTGTTTGATACTCTGATCAAAACACTTGGGATGTTGGGAGAACACTCGAGAAGCTGGAAACCACTCCGCTACGCGTCGTGGTTTCCTACGCTCCTCTCGTGTTCTCCCAACATCCCGCGTGTTTTGATCAGAGTATCAAACACGGAAAACTGTTTTTGATCTGTTAAGTGAAATATAAATTTACCTACTAACCACATATTTTTTACCCCCTTCCTTTCCCCCCTTTTTTGTTATTTTTTTATCTATTAGTTTGAGATTAATCTTTAATTGTTTTCAGCAGTGGTAAGCAAATGAAAGAATATTCTCTACAAGAAATTCAAAGACTTTCTAATGTAATAAATTATCAATTATCAATTAAACAAATAAATGTCAGCCTATTTCGAAGATTTCCTTTAAAACTCATTAATTAAAAAAATGAGAAATTCTAAAYGAGATTTGGAATGGGACTGAATAATAAATAACTTTCAAACAATTATTGACAATAACCTTAAATCTATGTAGTTGATACCATTTAAACGTGGGACCCTACAACACTATCATTTACACATCAACATYGTCAATCTTCCTAAATCTTTCATGTATATACTTGATAGCTTCGAGAGTTAAACTGTCTCCTAAACAAATGACCCTTGAAAGTCTTTGGTCGTTCCATCGGCGAACAGAACCGGACAAAGATCTATCCCACACGAAGAGCTTACCCCCTATATTAAGGGGACGTACTCCAGTTCCCTTGGCTACCAATCCAAGATAGGCATCTTCAACCTGAAACTTAGGAACTAATTTGGACCCCGCTAAAAACTCATCCAGTAAGTTTCCTGAAAAAGTATAACATGGTCCAGCGCAGTAATTCGGGAAAAACTTTTCTCTATACTCAGATTTACTCACATAATGCTTGTTTTTTGGATTTCTAGAAATATAGGCTCTATAGTGCACATACCCTGCATAAAGTCTATCCGGTAACTTCCCCCCCGACAACCACGATTTAAATCCTGATATGCGGACATATATATCGTCATCTGCCTTTAGGATATATTTTGGGTGATATGGCAGAGCCCATTCAAACGCAAACCATACCTTAGAGATGATATTTCTGTAAGACTCAATGCATGGGACTCGAAGTATGTCTCCATACTTTTCAGCTTCTTCTTCTATTGCGCTGTCTTGTTTGGGGTCTCCTGTTATTCCTAGCATAAACACGACATGAGACCTGAAGTTCATAGTATCTGTGCCTTGTTGAAGTGGAGATTGGGCAGCTTTAGCCCAAGTATTTCGAATGAGTTCCCTTCTCTCCAGGGATTTAGGAACAGTAGTCACAAGAACGAGGAGAAAGAGTTTCTCTTTGTCTTGATCAATGGCAGGTTTAATGATCTTGCTCCTTAGGGAGTTTGAAAGTGTTGAAATTTCAGTTGACATAGTAGCTGTAGTGGAGTTAGCTTCAGGTCTATAGGTAATGCGAGTGATGTTCTTTAGTGGTTTATTCAACCAACCAAACTTCTGATCTTCCAAATCGATTACACCAAATACTTCAGCATCGTGCTCAACTGCCTCGGAGTCATTTTTCCAACTCGTCCAATCATTACGAAATCGATGACCGAAATGATCTAATTTCCAAACTTTACTTTTGATGAGAAAAAGCAAAAGGAATGCTTGGACAACGATTAAAGTAAAAACCAGAACTTTTTTTGATATCATCTTAGTAGTTGTCCACTTTCGTGTTGTCGTAATACTGGTTCGGTCAGACGTTCCTGTCAATAGCACGTAATGCCGATGAATACGCGAAATGAAATATGAGACCTTCGTGTGACGGTCGGCAAGAAATATGATACGTTTTCCTTCTGACCAAAGGCAACTAGAAATTTAACACGGCATAAAAATCACTCAAAACGACAAACAGGGAAAAATGAGAAAGCTAGTAGTAAGAAAGCATTACAGTGATGCAGGAAAGAAAAAATTGATTTCGCTGGCCGACGCCAGTGCTTTGATTGGTTAACGTGACATAAGTTCGATGGGATTCACTATGACTTCACTCTGACGTCCTTTATTAATCTTTCATTTTTGCCGTATAGAAAAATTAAAAATATATGTAGTCTAGATATCTTTGTTTCGTCTTTTYCCCCCCAGTCTTGCAAAAGGCGGTTTTTGCCAGCAGGGTAGATATTTTGTTAATTAATGTCGAGTTTTCTAGTAATTGTATACTTTTTGGAGCGCTTGTTATCGCTCTTTTCGTTGCCATCTTCATTAAAACACATTATTTGTTAAAATTAGCCACCAAACTGAATTCATTGYTGGGACGGATCCAGGAATTTGTTTGGGAATTAATATGATAATAATATGAAATAACGGCATTAAGAAGGGGTGTCCGGTGAACAGCAGGACACCCCCTGGGTTTGGGCAACTTTTAGCGATGACCTGCGAGCTCTGCCGAATTATTGTCTGGCAAATGTATTCCACCAAGAGATCATAAAATTATGCTCTCTAGCTCCTTCCGTTAGAAGTCGACCGAAAGCTCGATCTACAATGTTTTTTCTGTTTCAGTGCTCTAATTTCACGGCATCCGGACCTTTTCTCGGTTACAGCACGCCTTGACCTCCGTCAATCAAACTCGTGATAACAACCGAGCGGATTGATATCAATGCAAAACTTGTGTGATTTACTAGTCTTCTGGCGAAGTTTCAGCACGATTTTTGAGAGGTCGTGTTTTTTTCCGAAATGCGCTCTTCTCACCTACATAATAGGAAGGCTGGAGGCGTAGCACCATATCGTTCACATTATGCTCTAGGAAATCCCCAAAGCATCCCACTCTACCCTTTGAACTACGATAAAAATGCAACATATCRAAGTAATGACAATTTATAATTTTTATTATGTTATTGTTATTATTACTTTCATTCAGAATGCCAAAACGCCAAATATTTCCAGAAAGATCCTTGCTTGAAGTCGAACTTACATTTGACTTCTTCCATGTTTTTTCTTTAGCCTGGTATCACGACTGCAACAAGTTTTGAAGCAAATTTGATTGTTGAGTGAAACATTTTATTGTAATACAGTCAATTCAAAAAACGTTGTCGTCGACCGGCTCAAGCCTACGCGACTGGACCGAAAGGAATATGGGTAAAAATCACTGAAGCGGTTAAATATTGGTTCTGAATTAATTGTTCCCGCTAGTAATAAGATAATAATATAATGGTGAGAAACAATCCATCAAATGTATGTCTTCAGATTTAGGGAAAGAAAAACAAAGTAGTTATGATTCAGTTCACAATTCCGAAAATATGAAGGCATTAAAAAAACGTCTCCTTCAACAATTCCCGCTAGCCTACGAAGGTTCGTGCTGTAAACCTGGCATAACTAGTCAGATAAAAAATTATGGAGTCAACTCGGCTTCAATGATTGCTACCCAGAGTTCCTTTCGGTCCAGTCGTGTAGGCTTGAGTTGGTCGACGACAACATTTTTTGAATTGACTGTATCTTCAACATAACTTCCATAAATTCCCGTATGTGCTCGTGCATGCTGCATGTAGGCCATCAATGACCGCATAAACACACAGTGTGACCACCGAACCAATCTGGCATCTCGGATTCTGTGGAGGAGTCTGGGATTCTGGGATTCTGGGATTCTGGGATTCTGGGATTCTGGGATTCTGGGATTCGCAATAAAAAATTTATTTTTACCTTCGAAAAAAAATATTACTATGTATGTCCCTTATAAGCCACCGTACATATATTTCGACAACAAAGTCGAAATTTTGAATAGAAGTCTTATATATTTTGGCAAGGAGTTTTATATTTTGACACTGAGAAGTTTTATATTTTGACAAGAAGTTTTATATTTTGACAGAAAGTTTT